TAGTAATAATATTAATAATAGCAATAATAATATGCAGAATGTAACATAAATAATAATAATAATAATAATTGAGTACAACCTCATCAATATGTGCTACTCACGTGTGTGTTCCAGGGATGATGTATTTTTGGTAAAACACAAACAACTATCCGACGACCAACAAACAAAGCGATGGGCAGAACATTTCAAGGAAATATTAAATAGGCCAAATCCTGACATCATTCCCAATCTAGAAGAAGAAATTATTACACCAACACTAGTTGCCTCCAGCGCGTCATTCACAATAGAGGAGATTAAAACAGCTATTAAAAAATTAGGAATAAACAAAGCTACCGGAGAGGACAACATCTCAGGGGAAATGCTTAAAGCAGCGGATGAAAACACCCTGCAACATTTGCTCCAGCTGATGGATGAAGTCTGGCAAAACGAATACCCACCACAACAATGGAAAGATGGTGTAATCTTCAAATTACCTAAAAAAGGTGATTTATCGGATTGTAACAACTGGAGAGGAATCACCCTGCTTTCGATACCAGGGAAACTATTTTGTAGTATGCTACTAGAAAGACTGAAAAAATCCATAGATGAAAGATTAAGGGAAGAACAAGCCGGTTTTAGATCCAAGCGGTCATGAATAGACCACATCTTTACTCTTAGAATAATTGTTGAAGATTCTACAGAATTCCAGTCGAAATTATTGATCAACTTTGTCGACTTTCAAAAAGCCTTCGACAGTATCCATCGTCCAACACTCTGGAAATTGCTTAACATCTACGGTTTCCCCATCAAATATATCAACATCATAAAATCTTTTTATAATGAAACACGATGCTGTGTAAGAACTGATTCCGGCAATTCTGACTGGTTCCCGGTGGAAACAGGAGTGAAGCAAGGCTGTGTCCTATCGCCGATGCTTTTTGGTATAGCAATCGACTGGGTCATGCGCAAGTGCATAAATAACGCAAATTTAGGCATTACATGGGTTGACAAAATTCTGGAAGACCTAGACTTCGCCGACGACATAGCACTCCTGAGTTCAGAACACACAGACGCCCAAGAAAAAGTCAATCGACTCCAGAAATTCTCAGGACAAATTGGACTCCAAATTAACACCGCAAAAACAAAAATTCTAGACTTTACCAACAGTTCAGTTGATATCACGCTGAACAACAACAGCCTTGAAAAAGTCAACAGTTTCACTTATCTAGGGAGCAAGATGTCATCTACAGGAGATACCGCACCAGAAATACAATTTAGAATAGCACTGGCATCTAGTGCCTTCAATAAACTGTCTAACATCTGGAAATCAAAGACACTTAGCAAACACACAAAACTCAAGATCTTCAATTCTTGTGTGATTCCAGTACTAACCTATGGATGCGAGAGCTGGAAATCAACGAAAACTCTAGACACAAAATTAGAGTTTTGAAAATAAATGCCTTAGAAGAATACTAAATTTCAAATGGTCAGATTTCCGAACAAATACACAAATAAGGCAAGAATCTAGGCAAGAGTATGTGTCTAATTTTATACGAAAACGCCGCTGGAACTATGTCGGCCACGCCCTTAGAATGGATAAATCAAGACTTCCTTACCACGCCCTCATTTGGACACCACAGGGGAAAAGATCTCGTGGAAGACCAAGGGAAACCCTACGTAGAACTATCATCAGGGAAGGCTCGCTCATGGGCCACTCAAACATCCAAGACCTACAACGGATTGCAACGAACCGCCATGCATGGAGAGTCATGACCTCTGCCCTATGTGCCGCACTCGACACAAGAAGAAAGACTAACTAACTAACTAACTAACTTTGTCGTTGGAGTCGACTATCTTGGAGCTTTCTTCGAAGTCGGAGTGTATTTGTCCAAGCGACAAGGAACAACCAACTGCATACAAAAAGCCAGTAAAACGGATGTACACGCAAAACTCATGCCCTGGTACAAAGTCAAAGTCTAAATTGACAAACGACCAGGACTTTTCACAGGGCTTACAGCCGGTGAAAAAAAAAAAAAAAGTAAGAAGAAGCAGAAGAAGAGTTCGTGTTACCAAGAAAAAAAAAATCGTGTGCAACAGGGACTAATTGTAACAATACCTTCTTGCTGGGTCTGCTTTGAGGCAAATGTTAAGTCTATATGTTTTTCTTAAGCCAGTTCATGTTAGCAAAGTTTACCATTCAAGAAAAATTTGCAGAAAAAACAACCTTCTGTGTTTGGGGGGAGGAAGGGGGTGGGGGGGGGGGGGGCTGTTTAGAGCCCTTCCAATTTTCACGCGCTCTCCTTAAATGTTTCTATTAAATGTAATAAACAAAACAGGCAATGTATTGATTTGGCAGTCATATAAAGAAGTGGACAGATAGAAGAACACATTAGACAACATAAAAAACAAAAGCTACAGTTACAGTTACTGGAATCGAATGTGTCTAGAACGAGGAGAATTACCCCTCCCCCTCTAACCCCACCCACCCCACCCATTTAACCTACCCCCCCCCCCCCCCTCCTCCCACCCGTCCGGCGTTTGTGGCTCGGGTCATTTAATTCGTGACCCCAGTCATACAATTTGAACATTTAAGGGGCGACGTTCCGAAGAAGCATCAAACTGGGAAAATCTACCGCATGGTCGTCAGTGCAATAACTGTCAAACGTTGAAACATTTATTTGTTAGGTTTGTTCCCAAACTTTTCAACAAATATGTGACTGATCATAAAACTAAACAAAATAAGAAGTAAAACCAAACAAAAACAACAGCACAAAAAAAACAACCTAAAGTCATAATACGAAACGAAAAACTAACAGCTCTGCCTACAGCTGTTCTGCATTGATTTTAAAACTAAAACAGAAAAAAAAAGAAGAAACAGAAGTAGTAGAAGAAAAAGAAAAAGAAGAAGAAGAAGAAGAGGAAGAAGAAGAAAAAGAAAAAGAAGTAAAGGAATAATTAAATAAAAAATTTATTATTATTTTTAACTACGAAACGAAAAACTAACAGCTCCTTCTGACTGTGTCTTGCATACCAACGGCAAGATGGCGGACGAAGCCTTGTCGCGGGCCGGGCTCCACTTCGATGAGTTGAACAAAATCAGGGTCTTGGAACCAGAGGTGGCCCAACAAACCAGGGAACTCAAGGATGAGTGCAAGGAGTTCTTAGACAGTGCGTTTGTACATCTCTCATTGCCTTGTTTCACTTTGTGAAGTTGCTTTGGTTTGTTTTCGATGTTATGTATGCTTTGAATTAGAAGATACTTTAGTCAAATTTTTATATGGATAGCTGTAAACAATCTCTTTCCAACGGTACCTCATTTAGGCTTGTGTCATTTCTGAGCTGAGATATGTAGGTTTTTGTGGAGATGAGATGTAAAAAACAGCTGCTAACTAAAACTAAAACAAGTAAAACTTGTGTCTGAGAAACAAGAAGTTTTCTCTGCCCAGTCAAACTGCGCAACTTTCGTTTTGGCTTTGTTTTCATTGGACAAGATGGCAGACAATTTTTCTCAGACACAGCCACACAATAGCGATTGTCTGAAAAATGTCACTGTAAATCTAAACAGCCACTGACAAGAAAGAAATTTTATACACAAATGTAAAATTGGACGGAGAATTCAATTATAACTAGCATTACCATGTCCGGTAATGTTTAAGGCCTAAAGCCAACTTTGAATACTTATCGCTGTTTTCAATCAAGCTGATGTAACAGAAAAACAGAGGACGTCCGGCTGTCGTAGACATGCGCTGTTAAGCGGGTTAGTTCCCGCCGTTTTCAGCCATTTATAGCCGGTGAAAATCACACCAATCGCAAAATTTCATGAGAGATTAAGACCCATCCCGAAACCCCAGCCAACATTTCCCAAACAAGTTTCGAGCGGTTTTCATGGTAACGGAAATTGCCAAATAGCCGCAAATTGCCGAACACCGTAGTCGCTAGCTTTGAATACAACTTGTATTACTATTACAAGGTCCGACAATTATGTAATGAGACTGATTTTATAATGACCATGACAAAAAAAAACCCATCTATGTTATAAGGCAACATTCATCTATGATCTAGCAACTTTTTATCGCCGCTCGATAAGCAGACAACAAACAAACCGCCATTTTGTTGACTTAGTCAAATGTGTTTTGTTAACTCTTTAAGGGCGGCATGTTTTCTGGGGTTTGGACAGCCGAATTTTTTTACAGCAACATGACAAAGCTAAAACGGTCCTGTGAAAAACTACTGGCTGTATAGTACCATGTAATACATCAAATTAAAGAGAAATGAATGCAGAATGCATGTAAGTTATCTAAGGATCAGTATTGCAACAATATCATATTAAAATAACACTATATTCGATGATGTTAGACGCACATAAATATTTTTTTGGTAAAAAATATTGTGTTTACCTCACATTTTTGCTGGATCAAAAACACTTCTTCTCATTCTTAAGAATTCACCTGCCTTCTCTATTCAATTATGTATTAGCTAGCTTTTATTTGAGACAATTATCCGGAATACTTTGCATTTTATGACAATTCTTATGTGACGTGTCAAATTTTAGAATAACCGAATGAAAAGGAGAACTGAATTACTGAATTTTGTAACAGCAATATGACCAAGCTAAAACTATCGTGTTGAAAAACTACTGGCTGTAAAGTACCATGTAATACATCAAATTAAAGAGAAATGAATGCAGAATGCATGTAAACTATCTAAGGGTCAGTATCGCAACAATAACATACAACAGTGACACCACATTAGAGGATGTTAGACCCAAAAAAAATATATTTTAGACATGCAATGTTGTTCTTACCTTATTCTTTTACTTGTTCAGCAGCATAGCTATCCATCTCTAAGAATTCACATGCTTTCTCTATTCAATTATGCATCAGTTAGTCTTTCTTTGAAACAATTATTCCAAATACTTTAAATTTAAAAAATATTTACCTAATATATAAGGACAATTCTAGTGACGACTTAAGTCTATTTATCTGACAATGATTATGATACTGATCTTGAATACAGCCACCTTACTGGGTGTGATATGTCCTAAAACATGCATTGGGGCACACATGAGGCTTGTCAGCACATCCAACGCCGTAAAACATGCTGCGTTTTTGAATCTTTTTCTTGCTGCACTGTACACATTGCCTGTCTGCACCAGCATAGTCAACTAAATGGTCTGCCCCAACAAAACTGGCAGACAAGGCTGGCCTTTTGCCTGGTCTGCGAGCCACAGCAATGATCATGTCTGTTGGAACTTCTTGACCTGAGAGCGCAGTTAGTTGCTGGATGAGCTCGTCTTTGAAATGTGCGAGACTCATTCGATTGGGGGCAGCCTGATGGGATGACATGTACAATATGTGAGCATTGACCTGCGTCACTTCCACGATCCACGTAAAAACCTTTTTCCACCACTTCTTAGTTTTGCAATTGTGGTTACTATAGTACGAGACCATTTGATCCAAACGATCACAGCCATTCATACTCATATTGTATGAGTGAATGGGGCTAGGTTTCTCAACCTTTCGACTCCCTTCCTGGCGCTCCTCAAATGTAGAACTTCCATTTGTGGTCAGTAGGATCCAAGGTTTTTTTGATTTTTTATCCCTCCAGGAAACGCAAAGGATATTCTGCTCATTATTAACTAAACATCTCGGAGTTCCAAAGATGGTTGGTTGTTGTTTTAGCTGCTGCGGCAATCCTTTGCGGTTTTTATTCACCGTGTCAGTATAATTCAGTTTCATGGATAAAAGAAATTGAATGAGAGGGAGTGATGTAGAAAATCTATCTGCAAATAGATGATGGTAACTTTCAACACCCTGTAGTAGGGTTGAAAATACCTTTACAGCGTGAGTTGATGTTGGATCAAGCTCAGGATTGTAGGCAGTTTTTGCTCCAAAGTAAATTAGCAGATTATAAACTTAGCCTGTGACTGAATCACAAAGACCAAATGTCTGTATATGATACTTGTGAGGCTTGGCTGCATTGTACTGTTTAGCATGAAACCTGCCCTTGAAACCAATCACCATCTCATCAACAGAAAGCTTTTCATATGGGTAAAATGCTGACTGAAACTTTGCTACTAGATTATTCACAAATGGCTCAATTTTTGCTTGGCCTTGTGCTCTGGGTTCTGATGCATGCAGCATTGACTGGTAAACAAGCAAGAACTTAGTTCTTGGAAACATTACCTTGAACCATGATGGGAATTTGTGGTTCGCTGTAGACCAGTAATCTTTGATGTCATGTTTCGGTGTAATTCCCATCGCTATCACTACACTGAGAAACTGAAAAAAATTTTCTCTAGTCATTGGCTGCCACTCAGACAATGTAGATCTTTTTCTCAATGGTATATTTTTCTTTATTTTTTCCACTGCATAAAGATTTATGTTTTCAACAAGGCTGTCAAGGATATCAGCTGTCAGCAGTGTCAATAAGCAATCCAGCGGTGTTGAATTTTCATCTAGTGGTGCCTGAATTCCAGACCCAGCTGATCGAAACAGGGACGATCCGATCGAAACAGTTTCTTCAGCTTCATCCCAAGCCATAATGTCTGCAACAGATACTGCACATGCATTATCATTATTTATAAGGTCAACACTATTGTTGTCACTATCTAGCTCAGATTCATCAACGACAGCAGCGGTATGGGCAGTTCTGTAGGCTTTGTTATTGTTCTGCTTTCCCTTACCCTTACTGTTTAGTCTGGTGTGTTTTGCAGCAGATGGCTTTATATTCTCGATCGTCACCATCTACATCATTGTCAGATAATTCCGAATCTAAGTTATCATCACTACTAGAATTATCTTCTTCATCTAACAACCGCTGCATAAGATCTAAAGCCTGCGTTTTTGTCATTCTTTGAGCCCTATCCGCAGTGGATGTCGAAGGGTTGGAAGTTGCCATTTAAAAAAACTCACCAAAAAAAATTATATCGCACAGAATAAATCTAAAACAAATCACAAAGTTGTAAACACGCCACGCTGATCTTCGCACTCGAAAGAAATTCCTGTGCTGAATCCGGGTTGTTCAAAAACTGGTTCATAAAAGTTCGTTTTACCCACAAACGGAACAAAATTAGAGTGTCTCTATCACGAGCCATTTAACTGGCTTTTTGTCCGTGAGTAATGGACTTGGAAGTCCAGTAAACTGGCGATTCCTCCTTAAAGAGTTAAGTTATCAGCACGGAGCAAAAAGCTAACTAACATTAAATTCTTTTTGAAAACTCAAAAGAAAAAAGCGCCCATGAAACAGTTGAATTGATGTTAAAAGTTTAAGTGGATGATTGTTTAACTCGTGCAAATCCTTGCATGTGGTATTCACGATTCAGAAATGGTGTTTAAATGATTACTAACGCAGCTAGACCTGGACGCCAAATGTCTTCATAATGATGGACTCAATGCAAAAGTCAGAGAATGGATTCAAGAAGATCATTGTTTTACTGTGAGGATGATGGTAGATGAATCTGGTGTTAATAGAGAGACCATTCATAACATTTTAATGCGAGATTTTGGCAAGAAAAAAGTTGCTTGCCAGGTTTGTAGAAATTTCATTGTCTGATAACCAAAAACATCAGCAGGTTGAGTACCCAAGAGACATCATCAAAACAAGAATTTTTGGTCCAAAAACAAGTGTGTGTTCTCAGCCTTCCACTCTACTCCCTGTGATCGTTTTCTATTCCTAAAATTAAAGTTAGGATTGAAAGGACAGTTATTTAACGATATTGTTGACATCCAAAGGGACGTAACATCGACTTAGAGGGTCATAAAACAGAAGAACTACAGAGGTCGTTCCAGTGTTGGCTAGATCATGCCACTTGCTGTGTCGATGCACAACTGGCTTACTTTGAATCAGATACAGGTTATATCTTCAGCTGTTGATTATTTTAATTTTTATGGAATTAGTCTCATTACTTAATTGTCGGACCTTATAGATCTGTTCTGTGGACCTCATCGACATCACACCGGATCTCATCGACATTGCACCGGATCTCATCAGCATCGCACCGGATCTCATCGGCATCGCACTGGATTTCATCTGCATCGCACCGAATTTCATCGACATCGCACCGTGGTGCATGTTGTGTGGAAGGGGAAATTCAGGATAGGAATGGAAATAAAGGAAAACAGAGAGGTTGAAAACTGAGCTCTGAGTAGAAGCATAGTAGTAAATAAACCGGCTGCCAGCAACCTTCTGATATCCCATGCTCTTTTTTTGGGAAGCCTTTTGTTCCACACGGGCAGGTCTTGCTAGTCATCACTGATGGCCATCAGTATGCATGGGCTGGATTAATTCCCAAGCCTTCCTATAACAACAGGGAATAAAGTAACATCATCATCTGGAAAGAGGACAGGTACCAACAAAAACAAACAGCAATGAAATGCTATGTAACTGTTCATGCATTTGAAAGGAACATGTTATGGTCAGTACAACAGACGAAGGCAAAATTCTGGCAGTTTGATTTGATTTGACTTTTGGGGACAGACAAACTCAAACCTCAACCAGCTGAGCTCAGCTTGCGATATAATTGTGGCTCAGTTCAGTAGTGGCACTTAGCTGAGTAAGAACGATGGCTTAGTTGGGAAAACGGAGTAGTTCTTGCACCAGCTCACTCAGTGAAGAACAAAAAGAATACAGAGGCTCAGATGAGATGAGTCAGATGGGGACAACATGTCTTATGAGCTACAGCGGCTTGCACTAATCACTGACCAAAGACAAATTACATTTGTTTAACTATCACTACTACCTCTCGGAGGTTCGGGCCCTGAAGGAACCAGGCTTTTTAAAAATGACTAAGGCTTCCAGGCCGACCCAGCCATGAGTCGGTACCAGCTGCAGTCCTGGGATATAAAGGCGGCCAAAATGGTGTTGACCACATTACCCACTGAGTGCCGATTGGTCTATAAAATATAGGTCTAGCCCTATGTGCCTGATACCTCTGAAGGTGTGGAAAAGTATCCTTTGCTTGCTTTTGACTACTGCTTGGAGGAAACTGTGTCCCTCAAACATTCTGGCAAAGGTGTGTAGTACTACTGCTTGAAAGAAACTGTGTCCCTCACCAGCTCTCCTTCCTCGTCCACATCACCAGCTCTCCTTCCTGGTCCACATTCCTGCCAAAGGTGTGACGTAGTACTACTGCTTAAAAGAAACTGTGTCCCTCACCAGCTCTCCTTCCTGGTCCACATCACTCTCCTCCCATCACCAGCTCTCCACCAGCTTCCTTCCCACATCACCAGGTCCACATTCCTGGCAAAGGTGTGTAGTACTACTGCTTGGAGGAAACCCATCTCCTTCTCCATTGGATGTATACCCATCTCATCTCCATTGACTTCGACAAAATTATATTTTTCTAATGGGTTCTAGGGCCTGACTTATGAAAGAGAGAAGAGGGTTTGGAGAAAGTATAAATCAACTGCCCCCCAAAAAGTGTGTCATAAAAGGTGACGACTAATCAGGAACTGTTCGGTGATCGGGGGAGATGGCGAAATATGACAGCCGACGCTAACTGGCACAGCACATGATAATGATGAATTAGGATTTTAATGGAGTTGAATATGCTAGGCTGAAAGGTGCAAATATCACAGCTATGCTGTAAACCACAACAGTCCAGTCACAGAAAAAGAAGAAATGCTCTTGTTTTGTTTATCCTCAGGGATAGTTGACTTTCAAAAAATTGTTGGCACCTTTATGGGAATGGTCGATTCTGTGGCTAAAGAGGTTGAAGGTGAGAAGATGAAGGTAAGTCAGTCATTAATGACCTCTGACCCCCAACTGTCTGCATATTCTGAACATGTTGCTAGCCCTATATTTCTGTACAGGTGAAGTCTATTTAGTCTATAAATAAACAGACCGGGAAACTTTGAGACCCTGAAAAATTGGGGAAAAAAAAGGGGGGGGGGGGGGGACTCATTGGAGGCATAAGGAAGTTTCAAGGGGACCCCAAAGCAGTTTTGCATGGGTAAATTCCAGATGTTTAGCTTTAACAGTCATAAACAGTGCTGCCAACTTGAGGTATAGAGAGTGATCTCCATTTGTTCATGTCTAACGTCAGCCCAATAAATAGCAGCAATCATCAAGACTAAACACTGACAACAATCACATTGATTGTTTGATGCTACATCACCAGTTATTGATGATTGTTTCACTTGTTATTTGACACTTTGAATTATGTGCATGTTCATCTCCAAGCTGTTGTTAACAGTACTCATGCCTTTTTCTGATTTTTAATCACATTTTTGGGAGGGGTGGAGGCGTTGATGGTCTTGCCGTAAACAAAGAGGGCGACGCCACCTGAATAAAGTTTTCTAAACAGTATGTAATAAACACATAGATAAGTAGTGATCTGCACTCATGGCAAGGTGTAGAGAATTGTCTAGTGTTTCTCTCTGTCTCTACTTCTTTTTCTAAGTGCTGATCGTAACATGTCTTCTTGTTTATTATATTCAATACATTGGACAATTTATTGCCAACCATATTTCCCTGTGTCTCGTCAGATACATCGAGATACCACAAAATATGTCTGGCAATAAATTGTGCAATGTATTGTTTGTGTCCGCATTTTTTAAATTCATTACGGGAAAAATATTGTTTTGAATATTGTATTCAAATCAAAGTCAGAATTTTGAGAGCATACATCTTTTCTTTAGCAACATATAGATGTGAGTCATGGATTATTTTGTGGTCATTAAAAAAGAAACTATGGGCTTGAAGTTACAAACAGGGTTTTAGAATACAATGGACTAGGAAGAGAGAAAAAACTGACATCCTAACAAACCTGAAAATTGGCTCATAAACAGCATCTTGTCTCCAAAACTGTTCATACTGTGATCACATCAAAGTCGGGGTTGATTGGAGAGAACACTGTTGGAGTGTAAGGTGCTGGGTACCAGGGGCAAGGGTCCACCAGCACGAAGATGGACACGGGATATAAGAAACACCTTGGCCAGGAGTGTGCATGAGGTGGGAGAGCTGGTGATGGACTGAATTTCTTTTACGTGGATTGTGGTGAGAAGTGGTCTGTAAGGCCTTCTACGTGATGACGAATGTGTTTACTGGTCTTGCATACTTCACATACTGGAGGGGATCAGTCACAGTTATGATGGTTTGGACATGTATGCAGAAAGGGAGAAAATCATCCAGGCATGGGAGGCTATGAACCAGACCACTAAGATGACCCAGGGATGCCTGGAAAGATAACAACCAACAATTCCTGACTGACAGAGACTCGAATTGAATAATGCTGGAAAAAAAAAAACCTGCTGATCGAGAAGTCTGGCAGTCTCTGTGGTATACCTCTATACCACAAGGTAGAAGAGGGAATAAGTAAGCAAGCATACACCGCTGTTTTTTGGGGCGTTTTTTTGAAGAGGGAAATGAGAATTCTACAGCACAGTCACTGTGGAGATGGTTCTTTGGTTTTCACTGCCTCAGGAACGGAGCATTTTTGAGTCAACCTGATAGAGGTGAAGTTAAAATGTCAGCTAACTAGATAACTTATTTTCTTGCCAGTTCATCTATAAAATATACATCTAGCACTATATAAATATCCAACACACCTACAGGCGGGGAAAGGGTCCTTTACTTTACTTTTATTGTATTTCATTGTATACCACCAGAAAAATTCCTGTATGTACATTTGTTCAAAGATTAACAGAGTTGTCTTTCTTTCCACCTGTAGGCAATTGGAGCTCGTAATCTGCTGAAATCCATCAGCAAACAAAGAGAGTCTCAACAACAGCAGCTCCAGGCTTTGATCACGGAGAAGAGGATGCAGCAGGAAAGGTGACTCAACGGCACATCACTTTTTTAATTGTGTGACATGAAAGAGTTCTTCTTTTTTTGCCTTTTTTTTAGTTTAATTGTTGACACCTGTCTAACTTTTACAATGCTAGATTCTGTTGTTTAAATCACCACTGATCACTGGCATCATGTTTAAATCACCACTGATCACTGGCATCATGTTTAAATCACCACTGATCACTGGCATCATGTTTAAATCACCACTGATCACTGGCATCATCTTTAAATCACCACTGATCACTGGCATCATGTTTAAATCACCACTGATCACTGGCATCATGAGAGCTAATAGACTGAAATGATTGGGCACTGGTAACATAAAGTTCAGATAAAGCTGCTGTTAATCATTTGCTGTTTTGCTGTAAGGGAGAGATTTGGGTATCTAAGCCATTGGGCTAACTGGTAGGTGACAGCATTCATCTTCTGTACTCTAGCTTCTGTCTCTCTGTTGAGTGCTGTGATATTTCTGAATTCAACATGCAAGTCTTTGTGCACATTACACACCATTATCATGTGGCATACACTAATAATGGGCTTTCTGTGACCTCCACAGGTTAAGGATACAGTATGATGCTCTTGTCAAGGAAGAAGCCGGCCAGAACGAGTTTCTGGAGCAGCTGATATTACAGAAGTGATCGTTTATACCAGCCAGGCCAGATATCATGTGATATAATCTAAATGTATAATATCAATTTAATGTAAACATAAAATTAGTCAGAGGGACACCAAGAGAAGATGCTGCACAGTTTGACATCATGGCAGGGAAGGGCATCTAAGTCAGAAGTGATTGAAAGTACGCAAGACAAAAGGTTGTGGATAGACATGACTACCAACACCACACACCGTGGACCATATGAAAATATTAATGTGAAAGCAGTGTGATTACGAATGTAAAAAAAAGCTCAGTGAGTGATTTCAATATTGAATTTTTGGATGATAAATCTAAGGCTGCAAGAGTGATAGAAAATGAAATCTAAATGTATGGATGTTTTGAAAATATTAGTAAAGTTGTGCAGTAGTTTAACAAAGAAAGCTTGATGATTAGTATAAATGTGGAAGATATATGGGTGATATAAGGTGACCTCTTCATCATTCTTATGGGCCATTGTATGTCACTTAGCTACATAAAGCCAGTGTTAACATACGGCTGTGAATCCTGGACAATTAATAAACAAGCCGAACAATATCTTGAGGCCTCGGAGATGTGGTTTTACAGAAGAATCCTTACAATTCTTTGGACGGCTTAGAGTAGTAACTAAGATTTTTTGAAAGAGGCAGGTGCTCAAAGACAACTTATCACAAACATCTGAAAGAGACAGTCATCATTTTGTGGTCATGTTGTGTGAAGAGAGAAAAATGGAACATGTTGTGACCACTCGAAAGAGAGACAAAGAAAGACAGCTTGAGAAGATTCTTGATACCCTTTTGTCATGGCATGGAGGGCTGTCAAAACTCGAATGATACATGCAGTTGCACAGATTGTAGAGAGTCATGATCGCCCACGCCAGTCGGCAAGACACATGATGATGGTATGTCACTTAGGACTCATCTGCAGTTCCATTCCATTGTGTCCTCAGTCACTATTTCAGAATCTCCTTTTGTGCATTGCGGGGCAACATTGTCAGATGCATCCCCGCTGACACAGAAGTCTTGGGTTCAAATCACAGATTTATTAAAAAAATAATTGACATTAGAACCCAGGTTGAGCCAACCTAAAATAGACACCAGGAAATACCTTGAGGAATACAGGAGGTGGGCATTTTGTTGACCAAATCACACAGACTGTCAATTTGTCAGTACAAATTAGAGTGTGGTATCCCACATCTCGCTTCATAGGGGCATGTTATTTTTAACAACAGAACAACATGTATCAGACAGAGGATTTCTCACTGTTGGTCAAATTTTCATCATCATCAAATGCTTTTGCGCAGCCTCATAGGTACTCAAGCTTCTCCACAGATCTCAGTTGCTGGTATTTTAAATCAGCTGCAGCATGCCATTGCTTCTGTCTGAAGTATCATCATCTCTCTTGGTCTGCCTCTGCCTTTGGGTTTTTCTTTAACAATTGATCTTTCCAGTCATCACAATGTTCTCAACATCACGATGCTCTCCACATCACAGTGCTCTCCACATCATCATGATCTCCACATCACTATGCTCTCCACATCATGATGCTCTCCACATCACAGTGCTCTCCACATCACAGTGCTCTCCACATCACAGTGCTCTCCACATTACAGTGCTCTCCACATCACAGTGCTCTCCACATCACAGTGCTCTCCACATCACAGTGCTCTCCACATCACAGTGCTCTCCACATCACAATGGTCTCCACATCACAATGGTCTCCACATCACAATGCTCTCCACATCACAGTGCTCTCCACATCACAATGCTCTCCACATCACAGTGCTCTCCACATTACAGTGCTCTCCACATTACAGTGCTCTCCACATCACAGTGCTCCCCACATCACAATGCTTTCCACATCACAATGCTCTCCACATCACATTGCTCTCCACATCACAGTGCTCTCCACATCACAGTGCTCTCCACATTACAGTGCTCTCCACATCACAGTGCTCTCCACATCACAGTGCTCTCCACATCACAGTGCTCTCCACAACACAGTGCTCTCCACATCACAGTGCTCTCCACATCACAGTGCTCTCCATATTACAGTGCTATCCACATCACAGTGCTCTCCACATCACAGTGCTCTCCAGAGCAGTGAAATTATTGAAACGAAAAACTGGAATATATGACAGTTTTAAATATTTCTGAAACTTCAATATTTTATACAAAGCAAATTCATTCCCACCCTATGCTACATGTGCCAGCCATGGTCACTCACAGGCAAAGGGGAAAAAAACAATTAATTACCATAGAAATGAGGAATGAAGTCATAAGAGAAAAAGTCAGCACAGAAGCAATTCTGAATTACATATCAAGTCAACAAATCAGATGGTTTACCCACTTGAAGAGAATTTTTTGTGATGCCCAATAAAGAGAATGCCTTGTGATGCCCAATAAAGAGAATGCCTTGTGATGCCAAATAAAGAGAATGCCTTGTGATGCCAAATAAAGAGAATGCCTTGTGATGCCAAATAAAGAGAATGCCTTGTGTTGCCAAATAAAGAGAATGCCTTGTGTTGCCAAATAAAGAGAATGCCTTGTGATGCCCAATAAAGAGAATGCCTTGTTATGCCGAAACCATAGAAGGCACGGACTGAAAGGAAAAAAAGAATGCAGAGCAAGAGGCTGAGCAAAAACAAGAGGGAATGATAACATTAGAGAGGCTCTACATCAGCAGGAGGTGTCTAAGGTGGAGGTGCCGGGGAGAGCAAGAATCGAAACCTTGTCTCTCCCTCGACATCTCAAGTGGTAAAATAGGAAGTGGAAAGAGTGAGATAGCTAAAGGCAGTTCTTGACAGCCTTGTGTCCTGACATGGAAGGTTGTCATCATCTTCATCATCATTATTGTGTTTTGCCTTTATATGTCAGGCAAGGTTTGAAGACTATTCCTCAACAAGATCTTTCCTCCATTCTCTTCAATCTTATACAATCCTTTTCTGTAAGTTTCTGTAGCAAAAGAACTGTTACCGTGTAGGAAAGCTGGCATCAATCCTGACCCTCCTCTTTTCTGGTCCAGGCTTGGGACCGGCAGTGGCAAAGATATGAAAGTGTGTGAGTGCACAAAATCAGACATATGTTTGGAGATCACAAGATGTGGAGTGGGATCACCCGTAGAAGTCGACCTGTGATTAGAGATCACAAGATGTGAAGTGGGATCACCCATAGAAGTCGACCTGTGATTGAGCAGCTCAACAGAGGGAATAGGAAAGATGAACACAAATACAGCCAATGTTTCTGCTTTGTCAACAGACAGAACAATTTACTAATTAAACAACTGACAAAAACAACATGGTACCTGAAAAATGTTGTAATAACAAATATGGACTATATCGGCTATTTTGAAACAAAGGATACAAAATAGGGTGGAAATAATAATTTAAAAAAAACATAGTAGACAGTGAGGCGATTAATGTTGATGCTACATATAAATGTAGAAAGAAGTCAGTATCCAAACCTGTGTGTCTGCAAATGTATTTAAGTAATCTCATATTGTGCCAAACTATCTACAAGCCAGGTTGTGTGCCAGTAGACTTTTTTTTCATATGTTAAGAGTGATTATAACAATTGTGCATTATTGTGAAATAAATTATTGAATCATTCATTGTCATTGTTAATTGTTTTATATCTTATGTTCTTTAACACTTTTTAACTGTCCTTATTTAGTCTGAGGGCTTCCCCTCCCCCTCAGTTGCTGAGAAACAAAAATATACCCAACCCATGAACATTTTCTGTTTTATCTGTTGAATTTTCATTTCAGTTCCAAAAAATTAAAGGACCTTTTTTTTGCGCCTTCCGGCATTTAGAGCTTGACCTATATAGATAGATCAATCGGCACTGGGTGAGTCACATCGTCAGCATCATGCTGACTGCCTTTACTTTCCAGGTTTTTACCTGGTACCTATTTAAGGGCTAGGTCGATCTGGGACCCAAAGTCATTTATAAAAAAACAATCTGGCTTTGTCAGGACCTAAACCCACAACCTTCAGATCTGTAGGCGAGCCTCTAGCTGCTACACCACGGCAGCTCGCAGTCACAGTTTATCTTGTATTGCTTAGTAGTCTGTTGATAAGAACTTTGATCGAAACGTTCTGTTGTATTTGTGGGCATTTTGTCCGTTGCCTCTACGGAGCTTTCTAGTCACATTTTAATGTTGTACATAGAAATTTATTTCAGGGAATCAAACCTGTAACCCTCCAAGTGACACAAACCACTCGCTACAGAAGCAAGTAGTGGTGGTGCATATTTGCACACTTGCGTCTGCATCCAGGTGCTTTACCACTTAGAGGTGACAGGCTCGATTCCTGGGATGATAACTATAGTGTGTGAATTTTATGTAGTTTAATGTGTTCTTGTCTCTCTACTTCTGTCTGTTTCTCTTTCTTTGTTTACTTCTTTCTGTGTGTGCTGATCGGTTTGGAAAATTGTTACCAACGTTTAGCAGCCAGCTGTTTTCCCCTTGTATGAGGTCCTCAACAACCCGTCTGTCTCAGGAGCACTTTTCCCAGTGTTCAACAGAATGTGCTTCTTGTTGATCAGTGGCGTTATAATTTGCCAGATCAAATATCAATGGTGCCTGTTTGGAAAACATACTTTGCTTCATTGGTGGCGTTTTTTTTTTTTTCGGCTATAACAGAATTAGTCTTACTGTTTTTATGTTCGGACTGTACAACAGCCAGTTCTTCTGCTTCTTTTGTTCTCTTGAAATAGATTATCTTTATCTACAGTGTTGTCTCTAGAACTTCACTGTCTGTGAAGTGTGGCTTGCACCGGTCTTGCTCTTGGCTAGAAATTTAGTCTTGATACGTTGTATCTGGAAAAGTCTTGGAGGATGTGATCTGATGCTTCAGGTGCTAGTCCACATGTACACTTGACTCGCCAGTCTTCAATTTTGTGTACATGTGGCTGCCAAGTTGATTGTGTCCTGTTCTAAGGCGTATAATAATGACTTTCTCTGATCTGTCCATTTTATGGTAATCGTCTTTTGTCGATTTTGGTGGCT